ATCGGCAAAGTCTGAAATGCACTCATAACTTCACAATCTGCGTAAGAAATTTGGGTTTTTTTAAGCTTCCCGCTTCAAAAACGATACTACGGCATAGGTGAACATTTTGTTAGAGGAGTCGCTCCATCGTCGGCGATATTCATCATGGCCGACGCTTGCACGCAGTTCCGCGCGTAATTCAAGGAGAGTTCAAGGTCAATCAATTCGGGCGTGGAAAATACGAACGTTAACACACCGATTGTTATCTGGTCTAATCCAGTTCAGGTGTTATCTCGTCCCATCAAACGTGTTTTGGCGGATTGGCGTCGGCTATGATGATTATTGCCGACGATGGAACGACTCCTCTTACAAAATGTTCACCTGTGCCGTAGTATCGTTTTTGAAGCGGGAAGCTCAAAAAACCGCAAATTTCTTACGCAGATTGTGAAGTTATGAGTGCATTTCAGAGTTTGCCGATGCGCTCATCGTGATTTTTGAGGCATTATCTATATGAAACAACTCTTAGTTTTGCTCTAGCAAAAGTTTGCAACAGGCCCATTGCAACGTAACTCTAAAGTTATTTTAAACATCAATGGGTGTAACTGAGAACTAATACAAATGAAAATATTTTGCTCATCTCTTCCTTTTTTTGAGTTCAAAGCTTCAAAAGATGTAATCTGGTGTATTTGCGTGAATTTGGCAACAACTTATGGATATTTGAGGTGTTTAACCTCTGAAATAAACAGGGTGTCTGCGTCCCAGTGTTCCTGATCGGACGTTGACGCTGGTCGGCGCACGCTCAACATGTCTCACGCATGGCTCTAAAGTTGGCCTTGTAGCTGCCAGATTGACCAAAAAAACCTCGTATTTTACAGAGACAGCTTTGTTCATAACGTCTAGAGTACATGCTGCCATGCAAATGGATTGTACTTATAAAAAAACAAACTACGAATTATAGGAAATATTTGCAATATTACTGCTTCCTCGTCAGTACATAGCAATAATTAATTTGAGATAATTATTTCTTCAAAAATTAATTTAGCTGGAGAGCATCTTTTATGTTGGACTTCTTCGGTTTGCTTTTCAATTCTTCTTCAAATGATGATATGATCGAATTTTTAATCTGAAATTGCCATTTACCAATGTTAATCCTGGTGTATGCAAAAGTTTCTGATTAATTAATTAAAACAATTCAATTGACCTTTAAGTCGAAAGAAATCATTAAAATACTATCGATTCATGAAATTTTCTATGCACAAAAAATGAATTCTTTGGTGGTATAGACACATTAAAAATGACTTACAATACACAAACATAGTTGCTAACATTTTTCCTTACGCACTGTAGATGCATTTTTGTATCTTTTTAGTCTGATCACAAATTGGATAAAGTACATAAAATTAATAAAAGACGAATAAAGCTTTTCTAAAAATGTATTAAATAATATAATGTGCTTTTATGCAATGAGTCATCTAGAAACGGAATGAAGCAGGTTTCCTCTCAGCATCGGCACATTTAGTTTTGCTAAAAAAAGCAAATTTAACCGCATCCTAATATTAGAGAAAAGAAATGGGCCAATGTGGAAAACCAAGAATTGCTTTGAGACTTTCTCTCCACCCCCTCCTCCGACACCCCTTGTTCAAGAAGAAACACTCTAACGTACACCTATAATCTTATGACAGTAAAGTTCAGCCTTTTTAGTCCACAAATCGAAGTTTCAAAATAAGAGGTAAAAACTGCTCCGTTGAACATTTTTTACGAAACGTGTTAATAATTGTCCTTTGCGGAGCAAAAGTCGGATTTAATTATTTTCTTAATATTTTTAGCACCCACTTGATTCCTTTTATGCTCAATTGTTCAAATACAGAAGTTTGGCAACACGTCACGCCCTGCGCCACCGTAACCCAGTAACTGACCTAAAGCCGTTTCGTCGACCTCCGCAGACTTTTTCGAGCGGTCCTCGTTTTTAACTCGTTTCCAAGTTTTTTTCCATCTCGCCGAAAAAATATCCTTGCATAATCGAGAGCGGTCACTTCGTGCATTTCGGATGAACTTATTCATTTCTTTGGTCCAGGTCAGCTCAGCCGAGCGGGTGAGCTCGTCCCCAAACACCTCTTTCTGTTTTATAACATGCGAATGTTTCACAATGAGCGCAAATTAAAACCGTTCAGTTTAGTGAGTTTGGATCGTGCAGCATGCTATTAACATCTTAGAGGTAGTATAATGACCACTCTCGTTTTCAATCCTAGAGTTCAAGAACCTTTCTTTCCTCTCATCAGTGTTACATCCCATTATGTTTTTTTAACCATATATTTGCTAAATTACACGGAAAAAAACAGGGTAGGCGACACAACCAGCGGCTGGTGAAAAACGCGCCAGCTACCGTGCGGTAGTTACGATAACTACCGCGGTGGAGGTCACAACGAACCCGGTAGTTACATCAACAACCTTGGATGTTGATGCAACTATCGGGTTAGTCGTGACCTCCACCGCGGTAGTTATCGTAACTATCGCACGGTAGCTGGCGCGTTTTTTACCAGCCGCTGGTTGTGTCGACTACCCTATTTTTTTCCGTGTAATTTGGCCGTTAACGATGACGTGCTTTCAGAGTGTGGCATTCCATTGTTTTACAGCCCAAGAAGTTACATTCATTCATACTCATTAGGTCCTCAGCACGAGCGTAATTTAGACTTTTCAACTAGAGGATCAAAAATTATCAGATATTTATACTGTAATTTAATTGAAATTACTTTTCCACGTTTATCGCTCAAATGCCCATACTACTCTATCTCTCATTGAGTTCCTTCTACCTTATAGCATAAATCTGCTAGAATTAACACAAAAGAAAAAGAGACAGTCCATTTTGTTTTATATGGCCTTGTCATCCGCCTGATGTTCAAAAACCAAAAAAAATTAGTTAAGTTTAGTTTAGAGTAAGGCTGGTGTGTTAAAATTGTGATATGTACTTATTTAAAATTTCATTAGATAAAAATAGAGTCAATTTTTTGATGATAAAAAATAATTTTTTGTGTTTGGTTACCAAATTTTAATTAGTTTAAAAGGTAACTTTTTTCCGACTCACGTAAAGAATATTACCCTTTAAACTAATGGTTTGATCATGTTCCCGTGCCATAAATACTTACAATTCTTCATAATCTAATCTTATCCTAAGTTACTTTTCAGGTTCATTTTTCGTGGATGTTATACTGTGCACGAGGCCAGTAATTTGAGCCGAACAGCTATAATTGATGTGAATAAATGTGTGAATGCATTACTTTGGATGCATTTAGCTCTTTATTATCTTTATTCCTTTTTTCAGGAAGGAACTGCACAATATGGTGTATTTCAGTATTCCAATTCCAAGTATTTATGTAAGTATTTGCGCATATTTTATTCTTGTCAGTTCTTAAATGGTTAAGGATATTTTACTTCAAACCCAGGTGAAAAGTGACCTTTCAGTTCAATTTTTAATTTTTCACTGTTCTCAATGTATGCCTTAATCCCTGGAAAAATAAAATTAGTAAATAAATTGTGTTGAAAGTCATTTGGCAAATGTGTTAAAACACAGACTAAAAAAGAATAAGCAGAGGCGAAAAATAGAGAAACCATTATCTCCCTCTTTATTTTTTTTTCTAGTTTTCCCTCTTCGCGTAACAATAAATCGATTCTTGAGCGTTCGAAATCAACAAAAATGACTTTTAATCATTTAAAAAAAAGTCTAAAATCTCAATCTAATTCCCTAAAATTGGCGAAGATATCTGCTGTAAATTAAAGTGATTTGCTACTTGCGGTGATAATGTATTTCAACGATGAAACTACCAGACCACGTATCTGGTTTGCGGTGTTTGAAAATCTTCATTCCCATTATATTTTTGTGGAGGAGAATACATGAATATCACTCCTTAAAGTTTTCACAAAGTTCTCTGCGCACTGAGAAGAAAAATCACGGATGTTTTTAAGAATTGACGGTAAATAGTTTTTCATCTAGAATATGAAGTATCACAGGAAGTTTGCAACGTCGCAAGCCGAGATACGTGGTCTGGTAATTTCAACGTCGATTTGCACAAGATAACTTTAATTTTCCACTATGGGACCATCTAAAATTCTTTCATGCGCTAACATGCCAACGTCCATCAGTAATTAGATAAAATTTTGTACAAATTTAATTTAATTTTTGTCAGGTTATTTTTTAAACATGGAGATAATTCTTGAAAGCTTTAACCTCACTACCCTGATACATGTTGCAACACTGCAACAACAATTTGAATCTTCCCTCGGGGTAGCATGGATATCATAATGCTTTGCCTACGATATCACATCTCATTGACGGGGTAAAAACAGTCATCTTTTTTGATCAGGCTCATGTGAGGCCAGCGGTCACTAATACTGATTTGATCGGTGGCCGACCGATAATCGGCAGTTTAAGTCGCATGAGTTACATGATTCGCACTTAAACTGTTATGTCGCCTAGAGCTCGCCGCGGTTTTTTCTTCTAGAAGACGGGAACCTGTCCTGCCGCTCGCTGCTCATCAGGGAAGTCGATCTTTCAACGCGTCTGCGTCGACAGAGATCTTCATCACGGCGGGAATTGGTTTAAAACTAGATAGAGTAATCGATAGGTTACGTTTTCAGTCTACGCGAAGCCATGCGTTTTCGCTACAACCAGGAGGAATCCAAGTAATGAGTCAATGAGTGGACTGCGCTTTCAAAACGCCTTCAAATAGTGGTGTATGCAACATTTTATACTGCAAGCTTTGAGACGCAGAAGACGCTGCGTTGCGCGCTGGTTTTCAGACAAAAGAACGTAACTAAATTTCAACGCAGCAATATCCACACTCACTGCTCGTCGTATTTTTCCAAGTTATAACATTAAGCCCAAATTGTAATAATTTGTCTTGCAATTACATGCAGAAATTAGCCATTTTTCTCTCTGCCTCTCATTTTCAAACACAAACTATAAGTTTTCATGCTGGATGACATTTACAATTAGCTTTAAGTATTCAAGATAAATTGATAATTTATTTTTTCTTATCCTACCCTTTTTTTTTCGGAGAGAATATCATTAAATTACATACTATAAGCATCTTTCTAAAACGAAATTTATTTCAAATTAAAAAGTGCATTTCAATTCTAAAACTCCCACTTTCTAATTCCCTTAACAAAAATGCTAGTATAAAAATAATAATTCATTATATCACAGCATTGTCTTGTCACGTGTACTTCACATAATTATCACAGCACACCGAACTATAGAGCTCATTTGTAAATAGTATATTCGTAATAAAATTGAGTATTTTTTCTGGCAACTGAATTAAAAACTCTGCATGGATATTGATTAATCAGTCATAAGTTTCATTTTTATTTTATCTATTTACAATCATTTTTCTGCCCAGACTTGTCCTATTTATCAAATTATTCATAAAATAAAAATCCATAAGCCATTCGGCGTTCACGACTTGTCACTAGCATATCTTATGATGGAGTGTGAAATTCTTTGTGCGCTGAATTCACACGAATTAGAGCACAGCTTTAATTGCAGCAAAAACTCATCAGTCACTTGCATCTAGTGATTTTCTTCTAATTTGCTCTTGCAGTTATTACACAGCTTAAATCTACAAGGACCAAAAGATGCAGCTTTATTGTCGAAGATCCACTCGGAGAGTTTGTTGTGGTATGGATTTCCGGGGTAAAGGACGATTGACCGACCAGAGCAATCTATTCTGTCATGCAGTGTGACGCACCTTCCGTGAGTGTTGACGGACGATACCTGAAAGATGCAAGACAAAGAAGTTAGTGCACAGCAGGACAATGGCTAGAACTAGAGGCTTCTCTGGGGAAGTGTATAACTTTTTTTTTACTTTTTTTTCTCTCTTTTTTCAATTTTTAACATCTTGGATCTTGCAACTATAGCATAGGTAATAGGTTTGTCACTCACCTCCTGGTGGTCGCCTATTTTGAATGACTAAGAATAATCAAAAATCAATTCAACATATCTACAAAACTCCTCTCTACTCTTCAGAAGTGTGTAGTTACAAATCGGGCTTGAGCCAATCTAAAAGATCAAAATTTAAGGGAGATACTGAGCTTTGCTTCAAACAGGTCGTCATGCACTTTATCCTACTCTGAAGTAGTGATATTTGTGTGTTTGTATCACGTGCAACTGTCTATGTGTAGGTACACACAATACACCTATCAATAGTGACTACACCTAAATTATGGTGCTTACCAGGTAAAAGAATAACTCCTAATCAAGATTCATTGACAAAACTTTTCCAAGGGCGATACTGAGCTTTAACTTTTCTGCTGTGGAGCACAGTGACTAACCTTTTGAGGGCACCTAACAGACTCTCGAAAATTCAGGTTTACCTGATTCGTTGTCACAAATTCATCAGGTCATTGTTGCGTTGAATTTCAGTAAAGAAAATAATTGTTTTTGATTACAGATTCTCACTGAAAAATTTTTTAGTTTTCACTTCTTGAAACTGGTTTAGACTGAATGAGAGACAGTTATGAGTGGTAAATAATTAGACCGCAGTATTAATGATATAGGGTCTAGATTTTTTCTTAGATTTTGGTTTTGACGGAAAAGACTTTGAGGTAGCTAGTTTTTACTACTTTGTATTTACAACCAACCGAGGACTGATTTTAGATGTGATTGAAGATGCGGAAAAAATGACCAGTCCTCAAGCACCGAGAAGTCAGGGTGAATTGAATGTGCGGTGACAAGTAAATAGTGAAAAAAACCTCAGCTTTTGAAATCCTTAAAGTCCAATTTTGAAGATGGGGCAAAAATCCGCAAATGAAAAGTCACTTAATTCTCTTGCGCATAGCCGAAAAAAACGTAGTTCCATGTTAAAGCTACGAAATTGACTCAAACAATTCAATTTTTTGCAAGAATAAGACCGAAATTTCCGATCAAAATGTTCTAATTTTGGCATATATATAATCGAGAGAAAAATCAATAAAGTTTCCGTAAGAAATATGCATCAAATTTGAAGTAAAAATATTTCTGAGTGAGAATTTTACGACGTTAAAATTCAGTTAAGTTCTTTCGCTTAGAAATTTATCGACGGAATTGGGAGGGCCTTTTATCTCGTAGGGATCAATTCGTAATTTTCAATTCTTTATTCTCGTAGGGATCTTTGTAACCTCACAATCTCCCGAACGTGACATGTATCGTTGATCATCCTTTTCGATAAGACATAAGATAAAGTACCTTTTTCTGAAATTCAGGCGGCAAATTTACACAGCTGCTAGACGTGATAGAATGGTTCTGGCCTTTGAACTCGAACTCAGTCCAGGCGGTCGCCTGAAATCCCATTACGCCCACTAGGTTGACCAGCATGAGAAGGGAGACTAGGGTGAACGTTGCTATCCTCCATTTTGGGTCCATTTTTTCCTTGTTTCAGCTGGGTGTTGCAGTCATGTGTGTCCGACCAAACAGGCGCGGCCTCTGAAAGTCAGCGATAAAATCGGCGATGAATACGAGTAAGCAGACAGTGAATCATGGCTGTTGGACTTGCACCAACTTAAGGTGCAGCATCTTGATTTCATGGCAACACCATCTCTAAATTTGAAAATCACTATTAGTTACGGAGTGCTCTCGCTCCGATAGAAACAATTTAATCCATTCTGTATGCAGATGTATATCGTAAGAGACTTTGAGTGTCAAGCAGAATGAGGATGATTCTACTGAGAACACCAATTTATTTATTTCTCCTATAAAGTATCTATGTTTTGAGCTCATATAAAGTATTCCCTAAATGCAGCATGCAAAACGATGGGATGATTCTTTTTGGCTGACATGCACGTGAGCAAAATTGTGGGTAAAAATACCCCTCTATTTTCATCTGGATGTGCAATTCTATTAACTTCATCATGCTTTTTATAATGTGAAAATAAAATTAAGGTATACTCTAAAGTATAGTATTTAAGGACATCTTTTCAACCTAGACATGGATGCCAAGGTTTTCAATGAGAGCAGCATACCGAACAAAACAGTTGTGTCCATACTTAGGTAAGTAGATCAAATGGAATCAACCAGATATTGGGTAGGTGCCAGCCCTGCCTGGATTTTTGTCTGGTTCTTTGCAACATCTTACTCCCACCCAGCGTCACTCCCATTTTTTGGTACCGAAGGGTCCCCAGTAGACACAGTATCCATACACTCTCTCTATTCACGTATGTAAGCACCCTGTATGGAGTCTGAAGTTATTTTCTTAAACTATTTAAACTTTCACCGAGGACAGAGGCCTATCAATTTAATGCTTCAAACGATAAAAAACTATTTTGCAAACGACTTATTCCGGCCCTTGAGGAAGAACAAAATAACGATCAGAAGTTGCAATGCGGGTCTCATCTCACCACTCGGGCCCGATGTCACTTCTGGCCACGGTGATTCGGGCAATTTATTCATTCTATCATCAATTCGGCGCTTGGATGTTCGGTCGTGAGATTTTGTGGGCATCCGAAAATGAGGGAGCGAGACTGTCCTGTCATGATGCGACACACCGTTCGACACCTCATCACAAGCGACGCCAGTGCCGTACCGATGCCGTCCGCTGCCATTTAGGGCAGAAACAGCGGATGTTTAGGGGGATCTTCGCGGAGGTGCGCGGTTTTCGTCGGAGCGAAGAGTGCGGCTATCGGAAATCGAGTGAGATTTGAGATCGAGGCGTGGAATGAAACGAGTGAGCTGTCACTCTCTGGCTCATACGGTACGTCACCAACCGAGTACACGGCCGTCCATCGTTCCAACCTTGCCAAAATGTACGAGAGGAAATTTAAATGAATGAATGGTGATAAAATGAAAGTGCCATAAATAGAATCGAAGTCACTTGCAGCGATATTAACATCGAATACAGGTTAAGAGGGTTTTAAGGTCACGCATCACTGTGACCTCTCCTTTTGACTTTTTGGTTGTTTAATTATCGCATGCTTCTGATGGGGACAAATTTTTACAGTAACAACCCTTCTGTATGCATAAAATGAAGAAAAATGAAAAATTATCTCATGAAAATGAATAGCAATAATTGATTATTACTATTCATTCTTCAAAAGAAGGCTAAACTAAGGCCTTGTGCTGTGAAATTTGATTGAGAATGTACTTAATGGTAAAGTATCCTTGTGAAAATCACAAGAATCGAAAATATAGTCCGAGTCATTAAATTATCTCACAAGCTCTAAATTGACAAAATATACAATTTGACGAGGGGTTGAAGAGTTTTATCAGAACTTCTGTATCCAAATGCTACAACAGCCGAGAAGCTGAAATACTTGTAATCTTCCGTCACATTCTTACGGCGCAATGATACAACTATTTGAACTCTCCGGAATGCGTGAGGTATCACGCCGCATTTGAAGGCGTTTTCAAAACAGCCAAATTCCGATACCCGGATTATCGTTTTACAAAGTTTTTATTATTATGTCTTATTTCCTACCATTTGTTTGTTTTCAATCCTCCTATAGAAACTACTAAATTGCTGAATACACTTCTGGCTGGAGCGCATTTTAGCTATGCTTTCACGACTACTAAAATATCAAAGGAACTCGAAAAGACTAGCGTGTATGAAGGCTATTTCAATTGTAATCTGCCGTCACATTTCTATGGCGCAATGATACAACTATTTGAACTCTCCGGAATGCGTGAGGTATCACGCCGCATTTGAAGGCGTTTTCAAACAGCCAAGTTCCGATACCCGGATTATCGTTTTGCATAGTTCATATTCTTTTGTTATATTCCGTACCACTTGTTTATTTTTAATCCTCGTATAAAATCCACCCATTTGTTAAATACAATTCTAGCTGGAGCGCACTACAGCTATGCATTCACCACTGCAAAAATGTCAAAGGAAATCGAAAAGCCCAGCGGGTATGGAGGCTATTTCAATACTAGGGGGCTACGCCCCCTGGCCGCTACGCGGCCCAACCCCCCGAAGGCGCTCCGCGCCATCAATGGGCCGCTTCGCGGACCTATTTTTACCCTCCTATTATAGTATTAGTTTTATTTTTCCCCTAAAAAAATTCGATATGAGGTATACTTAATAGAATGAAATAATTTTTGGTTTTGATGAATAAAGAAAAAAAAATTTTTGAAGTCAAAAGGACGCGTTTTGGAATGACTGCTTGGTGAAATATTACAGTAAAACAACGATCTGTTTAAATCGGAAAATTATTAAGTATCTCTGGAGGCGGGGATCGAACCCACGCCTTGATCAATGTGGACACTTTTAACGTCGTAGACGACTCGGCCACCGCTCGTCTTGAGGTAGTTGGCGGAAATCTTGTGTAGATAAGTGTAGAGCTGATGCGCAGGCTACACACCTACTGCGCAACCTCCTCGACCACTGCGCATCCTCCCGCGCATAGCGGTAGCAGTCCCGGAGCACTCTGTAAATTCACTCACTTTAATAACGTGATTTTAAAAAAACCTGGGTCCTTTTTCCAAAATCTGATTAGAGCGGGCTCATCTAGAGCCTATTACCTGTCGATTAACGCAAAAATCATGGAAATCGGCCCAGTAGAATGCTCAAACGAACTATGACAAAACACATAAATTTACATTGTTTATATGGGAGAATTCGCAACTTTACCACGTAATATAAAAAAACCTGGGCCATATTTTCAAAATCTGAAAAGAGTTGGCTTATCTAGAGACAATTGCCCGTCGATAGCCGCAAAAATCATGAAAATCGGCCCGGTAGAACGCTGGAACTAAGCGTCACCAGTTTCGCAAAATTAGGAGGTCTCGGAGCTTATAGTATAGAAGGTGTTTTTCCTTTGAGGAATTAAGAAAGCCCCCGTCAGGACACGAATGCGATCGCGATGCGACAAATGGCAACGATTCGCGGCTCTTTCTCGCGGACTGCCCCCCTCCTCCCCCGGCCCAACCGTCCGTTGTGCGGTCACTTTCATTTATTCGCGTGAACTATATTGTGCCCCCCTCTTTCCGGCTCCGCAGTACTCTTCCTGCCCATTACACTTTCTGGTCACTGGTCAGTATTGGTATTATTGCACGCGCGTGGCACCGGTGTGCTGCGTAGCCAACTTCAGATGATGAGTGGAGTGTCATCATGTATAGTATGGCAACAATCCATCGCGGTAGGGGTGGATAATCTTCCAAGCTTTCCAAGAATTGCTGGATCGGGTTTAGCACCTTCGGAGGAATTTTTTCTTCTTTCTTTCTTTCCTTCTTTCTTTTTTTGCGAATATAGAAACAAGACTTACTTAGGCTTCGCGAACCTCTCAGAAGCCATCCTAAGAAGGAAGGTACACAGCGTGAAACATATACTTGGTACTTTTGTTTACAGGTAGTATTGAATGATCAGATCAGCTACAATTGGACCTCGTTAACTAGAAAGGAACCAAGTCACATCAGCTATTGCCAAATTTAATCGGGCAATTTAATTCCTTACGTGAAAATTGTTGTGCGGATTTCTGTGAAAATGTCAGTGAATTTTCTGCATAGTACGAAACAAATTCCAAAATATTCTCAAAGAAGTCCGCACAAATGTTCTCTTGTAAAAAATGAAATTGCCCGGTAAAATTTGGCAAAGCTGATATGGCTTGGTTCTTCTCAGCTTAACGCGGTCCAAGTGCACCCTCGAGGAAACTCCAACAGCAATTGGTACATGAAGCGTAATCTTTAATTTATGTGTCATCAGCGTAACTTATGCTTGTCGTGGTGAAAAAAAAGTATTTCTCTTACTATCCCCTTTTTTTACAGGGCGAATTTTAAGTTCCACCTACTCTCCTGGTCGTAGTTATAATATTACTTTTGTGATAACAATGATTTCGGTTCCATGCAGTAATAACGATGCAGTTCTTTTACGCTAAATGGCATGTATCGCTACTACAAAGGAACATTTTATATTTAAAAAAGTATGATTTTACCTAAGATTTAAACGTCATTGATGTTTTCTGTAGGTGCAATAAGCTTTATAAGCAACACCACACACAAAACCTCACATAAAATACTATTGCGGCGCAAGGAATATTTTCTGGCCTATCCCAAAAACTGAAGGAGAAGTAGTAAAGCTTGGATTTCTCCTCCGTATTAGCTCTACTCTTTTTAAATTTACATTTTACAAAAGACACTAGTACAGAAAGTGTAATACACATTCATGTCCATCCTTCCTTCTCTCTTTGTTACCTGGAATATTTGCTATTTTTCTTAGAAACATGATGCCCTCTGTAAAGGAATGCTTGTTAGACAATCAGAAATAGGGCAATAATGGGATTGCCCGGGGGGGGGGGGGGGGGGGTAATTTTTTTTCTTCTATCCCTGATGGTGGCATGATTCTTCGAAAACGTGGAATCAGTTAACATTAGCTGAGAAAAAATTTGATGTGAGAATTTTTCTAAATTCAAAGCCTAATGTGTGCTGTAACATACGTGTGAACAAAAACTTAAGACGCTCCATATGCAATGTAAATTTTTCCGTGTTTAATAAAACTAATATTTTGATTATTTGATAGTTGCAGCTTGCAACCCGGAAGTTGTACTCACTTTGAAAGGCTCACAAAACGGCCATGGGCTCCTGTAATTCTATTCAAACATCACCAAAAGCACACTTTAAAAGTTCATATCCTCAAACTAGTCACGATCCAGGAAGCACTATTTTTATCACAGAAAAACGAAACGAGAGTCGAAATGAACGTTCAAAGCACACACTTACATTCGCAAGGAAACTTCGATGATAACTGAGATCTTCCCAATGTCTGATTCGATGCCAAGGTCAACGGCTCAACCGGCAAGTTAACCTTCCTTGGCTTCATCGAAATCCCAGGAGAGATGTTCCAACGCGACGTAGTAGCTGATATCCCCTCTCCGCTCACCCAAACCTGATTTGAGTTGGCACCTTTTCAGTATGATGTTGTTGCGGGAAATCCCGCCGCGCCGCAGGAAAACACGGACACAGAGCTGGAGGTGGAGGTGCAATGCAGTGATCATGAAAGTTGTGCGTTGCGTAACATCACTTGCGCGGGAAATTTGAATCTTGCTCAGCCACCTGTGATGCTTACTTGTCACGTGCCACTGATTGTGAGAGGTGGCAGTCTGCGGGAAATTGTTCCCGCACAGGCAATTTAATTTGAAAAATTCATGTTCTAAAATTAGTATTTGATTTTTCAGATGAAAAACGCTAAGATTCATACGTAAAAATCGTTCTCAATTTGAAACTGAGTTTTGGAACAAATAGCTTCCACAGCTTTTAATCACCACTTTTTTGAGTGAAAAATTGAAAAAAAAATTGTATGACACTTTAAAAATATCAAATTTTCAACAAAACTAAATCCTCTCGATTCTTAAAACTCAAAAATATGAAAACTCGTCTTATCGTCTCTGTGCCTCAATTTTAACGACTTAAGTTTTTATTTTGAAGCTAAGAGGTATGATCCTTAGGTATACGTATAATTATACGACAAATTTAAGAGAGCAATATAAATGAGCTGTTTACAGATTATCTACCGTGCTGAAGAGAAACGTTGTTTGAGCCTTATTTAGACGCTACCAAATTTCTTTCGATAAAATACGGATTTTGGGGAAATCTATTAGTAACTATCCTCCAATTTTTCAGAGAATTTTAATCACAATCAAACCTGAATTCTCTGAAAATGTCAAATATTTTTTTATATATTTTCAGTTGTGAAAATATTCACAACTCTCCTTAAAAATTAACACTCCTAACTCCTCCTTTAATTTTAACTCTCCTATCGGAGAAAATTTGGCAACTCTCGAATGTTCATACGGCGTTTTTTCTTAGCACGGTAGAAAGAGATTCATCATTGCGCTTATGCACCTCATCAGAATCTTGAATTAGAATGCGTTGATCTTCTCCGGACACTGCTGATGGCGCCTCATTACGGTCTAAAGATGAAGCGGCTTCTATCTTTATAACGTTGGTTTCAATACTGCAGCGCTAAGGAAGAACGTCATATGAACATTCGAGAGTTGCCAAATTTCCCTTGATAGAACATGTATTTTTGACAACATTAATGCATATTTCTCTTTGAAATTCTCATATATTTTAAATTAAATTGCACACAAACTTGTCTGAAAATTTTGGAAATTATTATTCACAATTTTCCCGGTAAATTCGGTTTTTATCGGAGGAAACTTGACAACGTCTGAAGGCTCCTATGGCGTTCTTCCTTAGTATGGCAGAATAGTAACCAGCCTTAATGGCGAGTTTCCTCCCTATTTATCAAGTGCATTTCACTCTTCCCATCGTTCAATTACGTCGAACTCAACGTGATGCTTTTATTGGGCATGAAATCGATTTCGCGCAGTTTTGTGTTTAATAATCCCGCTCTTAGTGACCCTTTCCATTCAAATCACAACATGCCAAGTTTTTACTTAAGTCTACGGTTCTGCTAAAAAAATGGTTTAAAAAAACAGCAGTTATTGCACAAATCCTCAAATTCTATAAATACTTGTATTAGAAATTATTTTAAGAAGTGATACTGAAAATATTTAACTTCGTTTAGCCGTAACGAAAACTAGTCAAAAACTTATTCTTGTTATTTTTAATAAAAATGAATAATTTCTTTGCGTTCTTGGAGCTTTAAAAAAATGTCGGGAGAGAAAAAGGGAGAAAGCATTTTAAGCTGCATGATTTTAAAAGCAGATAGTATCAAGTGACAACAATGTTGTAAAGTTCACCACAAATTTATCAGTGGTGAAACTTATTTCGTAAACAGAGAAAAAAATCGGTGTTTTAATTCACCCGATTTGCGTTGTTGAAAGTTAGATAGACAGGAAATTATATCAATTTGAATGCTGAGGGTAAAAATGGTAACTTTATTTTCTCTCGGTCATGCTACAACTTTTCATTTGGATCAACGTATAATTTTGGTATGGTAATGGTACAGATAATTATAATTGTTTTCATTTTCCTATCCAAATCACTAAAAACTGTTGTGGGAGTGTAAGAGGATTTTCTTAAGAACTCGCCACGACAAATAAGTCAATGGTAACCGAGTACTTGGGTGCGAATGGACATTTCTCCGTTAAAGTAATCTCAAAATCTCCACTACCCATTTAAAGTTTTCACTAAGATAACTTTTGGATCAGCAAACACGAAATTTTTGCTACAGATCTCATGAAATTATATGGTATTTTCAAATAAATTTATATTTATTCAAATTCGTTTTTTTTCTTCTTAAGAAATTCTTCTAAATTCTCTTCGGTATTAAAGAAAATTCTGAAACCCTTAAACCAAGAAGTGCCCTTTCCACACCCGCAAGTCCACAATTTTGACAGAAAATTTTAGTAATATTCATACTTTAGAACAGGAAAAAAATGAATTACAATTGACAAAGTAAATGTTGATCTAAACTAGGGAATCTACACTTTTAACAATTATTTTTTACAAATATCGTAAGAATCATAAGATGATCCTGTGATTTCCTAATCCCAATTTAAATTACATATGAAAAGTATCAAGGGCATTAAAATGCCTGAAATCATTGATCGTCGCTTACAATTCAAACTGATGAAAACGGGAGGATCTAATGATGTTCATGTTTTCGTCGTTGTCGAAGAAGATTTATGAAAGAAAGCTGTAATGTACTTAATTATAGTCGAATAAGATTATATCCTACATGTTCAGCTGAACGCGTTCACTTCTTTTGGCACGAATTAATATTTTTACATGGAAATAATAAAAATATGCAACGCACATTCTCTTATTTTTAATACTGTTGACTATATCCACCCTTATAATACTAACCCTCTCACCGGTGTGTGCTGAAAGAAGGCAATTAAATTTTAAAAAATCTGCAGAATGAAAAGCTAGATCTTGATGAAACACAATGCTTTAAGGAAACAATGACATAGCAATGAAATGACATGACATGAATGATGCATTCGATCATGGTAACTAAATTGTACGATATGCTATGCCATAAGATCGTGGAGAGTGTTCCAAAACGTAGGAGGTCGTATTTTTTATATGCCTCAGGGGTTGTGTCTACGAGGAATAAGGCGGCTGAACATAGTGGGAAAAATAGGATATAGATTAAAATTTTGTGCGATCATAAGCGCGTTTGAACACCCATTACCATGTGTACACGAAGCTTAAAAAACATTACCTGAAGTAGGAATGAATATGTAGTCACATATGACTAAATACGATTCTTCCTCTGTCCTTTTAACAAAATTTAAAGAAGTCGTTCCCAATTTGCTGGATGATATGGATATTTCTAATTATATGGATATTTCTATTGTATTAGTACCGCAACTCAAGTTAGGGTAGTGCCGCAACATTTGGGTTAGTTGCCTAATTTATTGGGGTACTACCATAATTAATTGGGGTGCTACCATAATTAATTGGGGCACTACCAATTAATTGGAAATGTCCATATCATCCAAGAACCTCGTGATTTTTTTTTCCATGGACCGACGCCGAGCTGCGAGCTTGCCGTCACGATAAATTAAGAAACCTGGAACCAGTGGCGTGAAAATAAGCAACGAAATTAGATGAAGAAACGGGGCGACTTATCCGGGGTGAGCGTGGTAGACGTGGACATGGTTGTGGTGGAATCCCTTCCCTTTTGGCACTGACTTGACTGGCTTGCGCGGGATCGGCGCGTGCGAGACATGGTGGTGGACGGGCACTCTGATGTGCTTGACCGGGAGTGACCTGTAGGCGCCCGGGGGCAGCGGGTGACCGTGGTGGCTGTAGCCGTGGCTGTATCTGTAGGGGGACTTGTACGGCGGCCGGCCGTGCGGCGGGGGGCCGTGCCCCTTGAAGCGCCCCTTCCCCTTCCGTGGCCGCTTTTGGATGATCTTGTGGTGGTGGTGCACGAAATGCACGAACACCGGCACGTGGATTATGTGACGTTCACTGCGAACAGACCAAGGAAACGGGAATCTCAAAAATACAGGAACATCCAAATCGTAGGGCAAATAAACAGCGTTAAGCACAAAGGAACCAAGTCACAACAGATAATGCCGCATTTAATTCGGTAATTTAATTTTTTACATGAAAACGGATGTGCAGATTGTTATGCAAATTTCAATGACTTTTCTGCATAATGCAAGGCAAAAAAAAAAAAAAAAAAATTAAAAAAAAAAAAAAAAAAAAAAAAAAAAAAAAAAAAAAAAATTAAAGGAAACCGCACAAAAGTTCTCTTGAGAAGAAGTAAATTGCCCAGTTAAATTTTGAAATAGCTGATGTGGCTTGGTTCCTTTCCACTATACGCGGTCCAAATTATATACATTTATGCTGGGGAAAAAGGTGGGCAATGAAATGTATTTAGCGCTAGAAAACTTTTTGGTTCAACACAATGGTCTTTTCCGGGTGCATTGTGGGGAATCATTGAGTTTTCTCGTACATATTGGGACGAAAAATTAACTTACATCGAACATGTATCTATAACTGCTCTCGCGGGAAGAGACCTTTGACGACAAAAAAACGAATTTTGAGGGACTGTCTGAGGGTCTTAACTATGTTGAATTCGGGTTCACAGTATCAGAGTCACATGATAATTAGCACCCACCATTCTTCACCACCAGAAATCAATCGCGGTTGGACCTCTAAACATGCTTGCCCTTGGTGTTGACGAGAGCCATTTTTCAGTTTCATTGTTCACCATCGGACAAGCAGGCTTTAATTTTTATTAATTTCTGAATTTTCTGAATTGTATACGGTTTAAAGGAGTCAGTCACGTCACGAACGCGAACGCGGACGCGGATACCGAGTCACTCGCGATCGCGAAAAAGCATCGTAATTTTAGTTTTTATACATTCTTTAAATCACCTGACGATGGGCGTTAGCTCGAACCAGCTGTAGTGAAGTATCAACAACAATTTTTAGAAAAATCGCTAAGGAAAAGTTTTACCAAAATTTCACAATTTAGTTTAAAGGAGATTATTAGCTCCCCAAAACGCTCCGGTCCTCTAAGAACTTTAAAATTTCCTATATGAAACACACCATAAAATTTATAATGTGAAAAAATTAACATCAAAATTTGCAGGCTCTGTTAAAAATTTCTTGTCCAACCTCTCTGAGAGGCTAGTAATATTCTGCGGCGGGTTTTTATCTTAAATTCGTGCCTTCAACTCTTCATTTATACCGCAAGGACATCTCTTAGGCATGGATTGCTGCCCTACAAATCATGTTCAACACATCGCGATATCAAAATTGACGCACAGAACATTCTCACCTATGCAACTACCTGTGCCGAGGATATATATTCGTAGTGTAGACAAAGAATTGAAATCTCCAATTTCACCTTCTCGGTAAAACCCGCCACCGCGGGTGAAGCGGTGGGTGCCTGGACAGTAAAAACGCCTTCAAATCCGTGCGTATGCAACACGGACATCCATGGAGTTCGAATAGTTGCATCCAAGGCTTAAAATGAAAGTATTGGGAGCTTAGCGTGTTTCACATACACCGTAACTCAATTCCAGCGTTGCCTGTTATACCGAAAAAGTACATTATGCGTGTATTTTCATCACGTTATCGTCAATTTTCTTAATAATGCTTATTTAATTGTTAAAAAATACAACATTGCCGACCCAGTAGGCAGCTTTATTTAGAAATTAAGAGGAAAAATGTAAACATTAACCACTTCCACAACATTTAGTAGTCTTTCTCTCCTTTAAAAACTACGTTTTTCTAATGGGCAAAAAACAAAGGAAGATAGGTTTTATGCTTCAAGATTAAATTATAGTTCTTTTTATGAGAAGAGGGAACAAAAACAAACAGATACGAATGTTACTTTTCATTCAGTAAGAGTTTTAGGAATTGTTACAAAAAAATAATGAAGAGAGACCAGTCGTGGCGCGCTCAAGTGAAGTGCTTCCGCAACTTTCAATGCGGAGCGATCACGAATTAATGATAAACTTTGGCGGATAGTGAAAACCTGCTCCAAGCCGCATTCAACACAGAGCATTCATGGGCATACTGTGCGTAACTTTCCACTTACCTGGAGTTCTTTCGAATTAATTCATTGTTTATTTTATCTTTTTTCTTTTTTTCTTTTTTTTTGGTGCGAGGCTAAAGGTCACCCCTGAGATCCATTGCACAACCAAATGGACTCATATTGCGTCGATCGAAACTTCTAAGTTCTAGCTTTGATACTACTTGTAGAGTGCTAAGAGTGATTGTATCAATTAACGATTAGTCAATGAAAGAAAAAATTACCTGGCTAGCTCTTTTGAAAATTTGAACTTTCCATTCTATTAAAGTCTTCCCTTTTTTATGAAGTTGCTTTGTAACAGAAGGTAGGACTTGAGTCTTTCAGAATTCAATTGTCCTCTCTGCATAATAGTTTTTTTACTATCATTTTTTTTCCTAGTTTTTTCTAAGGTCAAAGACACACTGACAGGTTTTCAAGTAGTGTAATGACTGTGTATTTATATTTAATAATTTTCTACTTTATTTGCTTTTTTTCACTACTTGTAAAAATAAGGTAGAGAAAGATTATGAAACACGCAAATGATGAGACGTGTGTTCAAAATCGTGCCTACTTTAGAGATTAAGAAGGATGACTATACTTGAAAATTACGTACCTATCTCTTTCACGTAGATCCGGATTCTCAATTTATATTTCATTTTGAAAAAATAAAGGCGACAATTTCATTACTTGACAATACTACTTACGACTTCCTTGCAAAGAGAAAAGTAAACATTCCGAACGAAAAATTCAGTAAATTAAATTTTTAGTGATGAAGAAAAACGAGAAATGAATTTAAAGAGAAGTGCTTAACACTGTTAACTGATAAAGTTCCCAAAATTGGATTTCAAGCTCACTTGCGTGCACACTTACAGATGTAAAGGACTACGGCTCTTTTTCAACATAATTTATTAATTTTCTACATCCATAAATGTTTCCGCCTTTCCTTCATCTTACCTATGACTATGCGCACGAGCAATTTTTTTGAAATCGGGTGCAAAACCACTCAAACTTGTGGTTTCCACTTTTAATTAAAATGAAAAGGTTCCGGTAAATCAGAGCCGCAAGTTGTGATACGTCTCATTAACACACCAGATAGTGGTAATTTATAAGTACGGTATTTGATGAGCAGATCTCAGGAACTTAGAAGGCACTTGTTCTGTATTATCTATGCTTTAATAACAGTGATAAAAATCAAACTATCCCTACGCCGGTCATTAGATCTAATCGCTTTCGACTGGCTCTCTACAACCATCACCGAGGATCTATAGCTAAGGAACGGCCTTCGATGTAGGCTATTGTATATGCGTATGTGAATCAAGACTGATGAAAATTAAACATGGTTACCGGAAAACAAAAACAGGAAAACTAATCGGGAAAGATTCTGAAGTTCATTCTGATTTCTAAAAATCAAGGAACTTTTAATTTGATCAGGAAGAGGAGCCTTTTATATTTGATTTTATGCAAGGTAGCTATGAATATATTCTTTCCTGTATACATTTTGTACAAATAACGAACCGCAAAATTTAAATTAAGACGCCGGCAGAAAAGGTAGCTGTTTTGCGAAAAGAGCGGTAAGAGCAGCTTTCTCGTGACGCCATGTGGACTTTCTGCGCGATACTGAAAAAAAAAGTTTAGTCATACGAACCGAACGTTTTTTGCTCTATATCACCCCAACTATTCAGCTCGTCAAATCGAAATTTGTTCGTCAGTTCACTTTACCGCCAAAGTTAGGTTACACGAACCGAAATTTTAGTTCGACAAACCTAATAAGTGAGGGTGATAATGTGATAAGGAACACCGCACGTTCAGTCCATATTTTCCAATGGCTTTCTCAGGAATAGTGTCGTTTTTGAGCACAGACTACTCTCCAACAGCTCTAGTATAATAGAAAAGGAAGCAGATTTTGTGGTGCTAACAGAGTTATGGGGGTCTTTTATGACTTATTCCCGGAATGTTGAAGAAAATTCAATTTCAAAAATTAAATTGTTATTGCTCTCTTCTACGACACGAAAGTATTATATGATTATAGTAGCCGATACGAAAAGTGAGTTGCCGTTTTCATCCGTTGTTTTATCATATACAGGGTTATTCAAAAGTCACGCACCACTGGCTATGAGAGGGGTGTCCACTTGGAATTTCTGAGTTGCCTCCCTCCCTCCGAGAGGATAAAAAACTGGAAAATACCTAAACAAGTTTCCCCCTCGATATGAGAAAGAACGTCTTAAACCGCAAATCGATATCATAATTAGAACTAAAGTTATGGCCAGTGGTGCGTGACTTTTGAATGACCCTGTATATACTGATTTTGAGATACGGAGTCGGAAGAGCCGAACAACGTAGAAAATGATCAATTCGGAATCAGATCTGGAGTCCTGCATCAGTATGTACAGATTCGCAATTGTAAGTACTTGCAGTGAGCCGTAATTACATGCGAAAAATATAAGTCCGTAAAATAAAGGGCATTACGAGGATTTATCTCAAGGAAACAGTCACAACGCATAAAAATTGTATTTATGCAACCGATCAATTACTGGTAACAATTTCGTGCCAGAAAACTGAGAAGAGTAGGACTGAACAGACCTAACTTCCATTTTCCAACGTTTGGTCGGGACTATATTTACCGCACTTACAGATAAACGGTCGGGAGGAGAATGAAGGAAACCATTAGCTACGGTCCTCAAGACAAAACGGGCGAATGTTGGCAGAACTGCCATTTGCGGAGGGTAATCGGTGGCAATTCAGAGGCTGGACTCAGGTGAAAATGTAATATTTTTAAAACTATTTGACACTCATATCAGTTGCCAAAAAAATGTCCTCTTTTTCCCAATGATGAAAATATAATTGAGAGAATATTTCGTTCTATGCCAAAACTCTAACTTCATACCGGGAATCGTTATATAGCAGTGAGTGAGCATCATATTTTTCTTCTTCTTTTCCCCCGCTCTTCTGAGTTATTGTCTTTTTATTTATTTGCTAACTGAACCAATACGTGACGTTCGTCCGTGAAAAAGGTATTCTAGTGCATGAAAGCAAGATTTCAGGAAAACTATTTATTTTTGTTAAGTTACACGAAAAAAAATTTACTTTGAGTTTTCGTCTAAAAACATGTCTTGGATCCCGATGAAAGTTATCAGCGCAGCATTTCATTTTGATTACAATAATAGGTGTGAAATTTTTGAACTGAGAGTTTTGAGTCGGAGTTTAAAGCAGTAAATGTTTTTTTATCCCCCCCCCCTTCCTAGTTCTATTTTCCCTTCGAACAGGTTTTCAGGAGCCAAAATTAAATTCAAATTCAAATTCAATAAAAGGATGTGCTAATTTGAGGAATTTAAAAAAAGAAAACCTTGATACTTTACTTTTTAGGAAAATACATTCACTCCCTGATATGCCCGCCCCACCCCCTTCATTTTTATTCACTTTTAGGTATAGAAAAAACGCATGTTAAAGTGGCTTAAATGAAGAATAATTCTGTGTGTAGTTTAAATCAAGATATATTGGTAAATCTATCTAACTAATAAAAGGGAAATACATTGATCATACACTGATCCATCACGCTCGCCTCCCCGCTCCCACCGGTCGGAATCGGTGCGAACTTAGCCGTTCGACGGGTACTGTCCCCGAGGGGTGCAATAAGCTTTCTTTTCGCGATCCGCCCGTCCGTTCGCGAGTAACCGCGGTCGGAAGTCGCGGATATTCCCGTAAGCCCGTGTGTGTTGGAAAGAGAGACGTAGCAGTGCGGGTATATTTCCTGACGCGGCCGTTGCCGGGTGGCCGTCGGATACCTTTAGCTGCGCGCGTAATTGGCCCTTGATTTCCGCTGTTCTATGCTATGAACGGCAACACTGCGGGCCTTTCTATGTTTCATCCGATTATCAGCTGATGAAAGTTTTTGAGCTTTCTTATGTTTCCATAGTTATTCTTCTACGCTTACTGCTCGTATATTTATTCGCCTTCCCCCCTCCCCACGAACGTTTTTACTTTTTTTTTTTTTTTTTTTAAACTGAGCAGCTGATGAAAATAACATCTTTTTGAATGTTTTGGGTCAGTTATTTTCCATTATCTGAACTTTAGTTGTTGCTTTCATAGTGGGTTTCTTGTGTAATCATGGATTTTTTAACTATTAATTCCAGTGGAACTCAATTTAACTGTAGTTGTCGTTTTAATAGTGGTTTTCTAGTGTAATCATGGATTTCCTAACTATTTCTGAACTTTAGTTGTTGCTTTCATAGTGGGTTTGTTGTGTAATCATGGATTTTTTAACTATTAATTCCAGTGGGACTCAAATTAACTGTAGTTGTCGTTTTAATAGTGGTTTTCTCAATAAATTTTGCCAACATGCTTTTCAATTCATTCTACAACATTTCATTCCGACGTGGTAATAAAGACTTATAATGCCCCTAATACATTATAATTAATTACAATAGTAACGCCGCATTATAATGTGGTATTATACATCGAAACGATTCATGTTCTACTAATTATTGATTATTGTGAGATGAATTCTGTTTTCTCTGATTGTATGTTTCATACGTGCGAAGCACGTACACTGAAAAAAAGTTCTGTTGTAACAAACCAGAATTTCTGGTTGTATTTCGCAACCAGATTTTCCGGATGATTCAACCAGAATTACAGTTGACTCAACCAGACGTCTGGTTGACTCCACCAAATTCTAGTTGAGTCAAATGTAATTCTGGTTAAATCAACCGGAAAATCTGGTTGCGAAATACAACCAGAAATTCTGGTTTGTGACAACAGAACTTTTTTTCAGTGTACGGGTCACTAGAAACGTGGGTCGTACGGGTGGCTGATAAAATTGATCTTCGAATAACTTTTGATGAGCTAAGGAAATGGGTCCATCTGCACCTCATGGACATTACATAGTTGCCGTAATTAAGGTCATCCCGTAATTAAGGTGCCGTGATTTAAGTCATAAATTCTTCATCCAATTCTTGGTTCATCTCCAAAATGTCTGCTAAAGCTTTCATGCGCCTCTACTTGTATGCATGAATGAGCATATTGGGTATCCAACAAGCGGACACTTTTTTAAAATTCAGATGATTCTTGACAATATCGAACAGAAATGCAAGAGCTGCGTACAACCATTACATCTAGCTCATCAAAATTTATTCGAAGATCATTCAAAAACCTCTTTGACAAGTTACAAAAACTTTTCGTTAACAATAGTGTCACACGGTACTAGGGATGGTTACTTTTTAACGAACCTTATATTTCCCTGACTCAGTCCTAAATTATAGAAGTATGCATTAATTTTCCAGCGATCCAAATAAAATCAGTGAATTAAAAGTTATACGCATATATTATGAGATATTCGGATTTGTTTCCTGCAATATCGCCGCGCGAAGCGCGGGTTGACTGCTAGTAGTATAATAAAATGAAGAAAAGAAAAAAAAAAACAAGAAAAGACATAGTAACTGCTAATGTGTATTGGTAAACATACACTCCTATTGGCCTAAACTTTAGCTGATTGTGAGTTCTTAAGCAGGCACCAAAGAGTTAATCATGTGGTCGGTCCACCATGTCGCGATGAGGACAGTGTTTCATATGTTAAGCTGGGCGATTACAGAGCATTTACAAATTTCTCGCATCTTATATGGTTTTAAACCCATCAAGTAAATTTTTTCATTCAGTCTCTCAGAAAAAAATGTAAGTTCGTAAATTGCTTTATTGCCCAAGTGTTATTTTTATCATTTGCACGATTCACGTGTGCAAAATTTCTATCAAGGAGACAGAGTTAGACTAATCTGAGTTTTTTTGTGGACAGGAAGGATACGTAAAGTAACATGGTGATGTGAAAAATGCATTCAGCAATTCAGTACAACGTGCCTCTGACAAACATTCAACTGAAAAGATTTCCGTGCCAAGAGAAAACAAAATTAAAAAAAAAATTGCAAAAATTAGGTCATTTAACTGTTTAAGGTAACCGCACGATAACCGCATTTTTATCGAATAGCTTCTTAAAATGGTACAACGTATCTTTTTACCTCCGTGGAATTTAAAAGCGTTGCTTTTTCCCCGCACGAATCTCATTCTTTGAAACATTTAAAACGCAAACTAAGTAACTAGCATACAAACTATTTAGTAACATTCCACATCAATTTGAAGTGGAAGTAGAGGTTTGAAGATTTGCACCACCATAAGTCTGAAAATATTGAAGATAAAGTTTAACTTTTCATTTTCTTTTGACTTGAAATTTTGACCGAGGAAAATGTGGGATTTTTATCCTCAAAACTACCACCAACTCATGGTATGCCCGAGTGTGAATTAATTCCTCACTCTTAATTCAAACCAAGAACTTTTAAGCCTGTATTTATCATTGTTTGTCTACTATCGTCATTGATTTTATGCTTCTTGATCATGTTGAGATAAACGTAATGATCACTTTTATCAATCTTATTTATTGTTCTATAATTTCTAGCTGGTCAGCGGGTTTCCTCGATCTCGTCAATTGAACCACGCATGTCCACCAATCAACATGGAAGCAGCAACACGGAATACAGGTAAATTAAAGTATTCATCCGCACTCTAATGTAGACATGGTCCAGACATGTACTATACCTCCACTCGCCTCCAGGATTAATTACGCTACAATTTACAATGTGATAATACTACCTCTGGCTCGTTGCAGAAATAACATATGTATCCTTAACATTGTAATTTGAAAACCAAAATATTCTCAATCAGTACTCAATAATATATTGGTTTTATTGAGATATTCTTAAATGCATCCGAAAAAATAAAAAAAAAAAATACTCATGTGTATTATTATCCAGGTTAAAATTACCCTTCGCTAAGATTTTTAGAAAAATAAATTACCCTCCTCATTTTTATACCAATTTGCGGCCCTCTAATTCCATAAATGTCGCGCTAAAAAACCACCCTTAACTTCCTTGAATTCAAGTTATTGACCTTACAATTCTATGACAAATTTCCCGCGTCACGTCACGGGAAGCAATGATTTCAGATGAACTAAAGAGATTAGAAAGAGTCAAAAATTGGCTCATTGTGAACCTTACATTTAACCTCAAAGCATCTTTTTCATCTCAGCCGAAATGTCAGTTTGTAAAATGTATTTTAAACCAGATCTTATTTACATTGCTTGCACCATTTACGTTAGTTATGTTTTCCAGTTGGTGAGAGGATTTTCTTGGTCGTATTATCCTCGATTGAGCCACGAATGTCCACCAATAAAAACAAGAGAAAGGCCAGTGAGTGCAGGTAATGACGATTCCAGCCTCAGACGAGTGATACAATTATGCGCATCATTTTGTTTTTGTTTTGTTTTGTTTTTCGCCATTTCGGATCAAACAGTAGGGCTTTGAACTTCCGACGTCACGCATTCTCTCGTATCCAGAAGAATAAGTTACGAGTGATTTAGCTTCTTTGGATTTCTCGAATGTTTTTACGTCATAATGTTCAATAAAGCGGTAGCATTAATATCTCAATTTTGATCTTACGTCATTTATACCAATTTTCCGTGCGGACGATCTACAGGCCTGTATCAACGAGACAGGACGCTTCCCCATTCCAATTTTGTATTGAACATACTCACACGATGAAGTTTTTTTACGAAATTATGACAGAAATATCTTAGAAACTTTCGGTTGGAGGTACTTGGTACTACACAGTCTGTTAGAAAAATTACGATTTTCGAATAAGAACTTCACAACGTTGAAATGCAATTAAACGCGTTCCTCCGTTTAAGAAACGGCAATATAATTAATTTCATTCAATAATGAGTTCAACAAATAGGGTCAATGATGAAACCTTCTTTATGTTAGATAGCAATATACTATCGCTTACGAGTATTCCCTTCAAAAATTTCAAAAATTTCAATGGAAATTTTTGGCTTTGTTTTCCCGTGCAAAATGATGTGTACCCAGCACCATTTTTCCACCTTGTTACATACAGTTCGGGCCTCGTCTCAAAGTGTTTTTTTTTTTTCCTCCCTTCCTGTAATCTACTGTGGAGGCGCAAGGAACTTAGCTTAAAACTTAATAGCTACTCACTTACGTGCAGGATTCAAAGGAGCATAAACTCTCTGCTTAGATCGAAGCTAGATTATCAGTTCTCCTGGGTTTTATAAGCAGGGTATCTTCACTACTAGAGTCCTGTATGTTATCTTTTTTTTGCGCTTTTCTAATTTTCGCAATACATTTGTGGTACGTGAAAAATATTGAGAAAAAAAAATTATTTCTCAGGCAAGCATCATTTATTGCTTATGGGTGTGCCTAGACCAAATGCACAAGGACCTCAACCGTTTGAAGCAACAACTAAAGGACCATCACCTCCTGCAGTTGACGACGAAGAGTACGATGAGCAAGACAGGGAACTTATGAGACGTACGTGATCTTATTCATAATGTTTTTATTTTTTATTTTTTATTTTTTTTGGGTGTGTGTCTCAAGAACAGTATCTGATTCTAAAGTACTCACCATTCGAATGGAAATGACATTAAAAATAAGTTTATTACAAAATTACTTGACAATTTCCAGAAGAGACAATTGGGAAAACATTCTAAAATTAACTCTCCTAGCAAATGCGGTCTACTCGTTAAAAAAAAAATTGGAAACTGAAAACAGAGGAAAAATCGCATGACCAAAGAGAGTAAAAACAAATTAGCAATAAAATAAAATATCTGAAATTGACTGTATGTGCAGAAAAGAACCTCTCATTAAAGAAGGAAGGATGACAATAAAACAATTCTACGCTTTGAGCAATGTTATTTTACTTTTTCCAGCCTATTCATATTTTCTTACTATTCAGCATAGCCCTCACCCCTATCTTCTCTGCAAAAATCACATTTGAGAATCTGTTAAACGTAAAAAAATGTCATACATTTTAACTAATTTAAATCATCTGTTTTGAAGAAGGTGGAAAATGATAGTTCCGTAGCCAATAGAATTGAGTTACGAAAGATTCGAATTACTGCCACTTTGGAATTACTGCACGAGCTCTTCAGTGATTCTTCCGAGTTATTTCCGAAATTACATCGATTTTCACCGCGTGGCGTCCTTGCGTTTTTCCGCATAAAGACTGGCGCAGTATTGTGTTCACAATATCGCAAGATCGTGCAGAAAACGATAACAGTCCGTTTAACTTTCACACGAATGATTAAAAAGTCGCGAATTTCTTTTCGAAGTTGCCATTAGTTCTATTGAGATTATAATCATTATTACGTATCAATGACCGAGTTTTTGCAGTCAGGAAAAATGGGGCTGTACTTCAAAACAGATAAAATTGAGCCACTTCATAAGATAACTGCAACCAAAAGTCAGTTTTGCAGCATTCGCCGCAACAATCACACAAAAAATCAAGAAAAATTGACAGGAATCAGGTCAGAGTCAAGAGCTCCAAAGTCAGGTTCAATATCCTAATCATTACTTTCCTTTTTTTAAACCAAGAATTTTCGTTCCTGCGTGACGCCTGATGGAGTAATTCGATCTAATTTAAAATTTCAAAAGAAAAAAATGAGCTGGATTAACTTTTGAGAACAAATAAATTATTTTTAGTCTGTATTTTAAGATTTACAGTAGACTCTGGATTATCCGGCTTCGTATTATCCGGACTCTGGATTATCCGGATCGATTTTGCAACCATGTAACTACGTACGCATTCCGATAAGTGAGCGGATCCGCGGAGAAGCGGTCGCAAGGCATATTGGCGCCTGCAAGGCTGAAGGAATACTTCACGCATTGCGCGCTTTAATCGTTGTATTGTAATTTATCGTTGTCGGCTACCATTCACAATCACCATTGAGTCGTTCAGTTTGGCGTTAACCTTTTAAATTCGTGTTGGTATGTACATGATGTATACATACTAAGAATACTGTGGTGTTGGTTGGTGGTGTTTGTGTTTACTATTATTATCCGGATTTCTTTTTCATCCGGATCGGGCCCGGCACCAATTAATCCGGATAATCTAGAGTCTACTGCACATATATTTGACGAATTTTCCATTTTGATTATTTTTTTTCTTTATGTAAATGTTAAGTGATTCTCAACTGTACTCAAATTTCAGCGCGAGGACCAGATGAGCCATCCCCTTTCGCCTTATTCTTAGTTGACAGGCAGTTCAAGAGATTTGAGGAGAAAATAAACGAAGAGTTTCAATACGTATTGGACAACTTGCCGAAAGAAACGCCTCCCGTCTGGCACATCTACAACTATAAAGCGTACATGATGAAGGCATTCCGCATGGTGAAAATAATGTACGAGGTGCAAGGGAGTATGAAAACAGGAGACGGAATTTGCGATGTCCTCATACTGCCGAAGCCAGGAGACACCGGAAGCGCTTTCATAGTTAACTATGTCCTTTCAGAGTCTGAAAAAGACCTGAGGAAAGATGCCAAAAGATGTCTACAGACTATGTTAGATCAGCGTTTTGGTCTGGAGCTGAGAGACAGACATCCACCTCTGGATGATGTTTACAAAGTTGGCATTTCATTTTGTGGCCCGAAAGCAGCTCTCGAGTATTCGGATGCAATTCCTGCAATAAAGTTCGAGTCTACGACCAGGAGAAGAATGTGGGCCTAACCTTGCATTGCAAACCCTAATCTGTTTGATGATGAAGTGCAAGTATATTTAAAGTCGGGGTGGTCAAAGGGCTGGCCTGTTCCTTGATTTTGAAACCGGACCATCTCTGGGATTTGGGTGGATTAAAATGCGTATAGCCTCTTTAAGGTTTTGCTCCATCCTGCAGATTTTTCTCTTGGGATAGAAAATGACCGGGAGAAAAACGTTGTCCTCACTGCATATTTCAATCTGATATGTTTAAGTCAAGAAAACGGAGACTTTGAGAGAGTATTTTGGAAGTATCTGGTGAAATTTTGGGGGAAATTTTGAACTTTAAAAATTGATTATACCCTTTATTAAGATAATGCTCAAACGAACAACAACATTTTTGAAATCCACAAAGTTATTTCACGGACTATGATAATTGATTTAAAAACCGAGCTATAAGCAAAATAAACAAGTAACACACATCTTTTTTCATGAATTTTACCTTATTTTGATTTTATTCTAAGATGTAGTCGCAGAAGATTGTATATTTTCGCATACTTTTGTAGCTTTTTTATTTTTTATTTTGTAAAATGTTTCCACTGGTTGTTCTCAATGCACTGAATATGATCACAGGTTGCAGGCGGTCGAGACGTTTTTCTTTGTTTCTTGTAAGTTTTATATTATTTCTCATCGATGTACGATCGTACATCTAGTTTGAAATATTACTTGTTTATTTTGATTTTTAGCTCGATTTTTTAATCAATTACCATGTTCTATACAGCTTATCCAGCCAAATTTGGCAATAAAATGTGTTATTCTACAGATCTGAGACGAAATTTCAGTTCCGAAACTAAAAACGGGGGAAAAAATACAAAATAATTTGACAATGAGATTGGAAAAACTTTCGCAACTCTTCAAAGATAAAAAAGTTGAATGAAAAATTGAATCCCACGCACAAGTAAAGAATGTAAAGTTTTCTTTGACTCAACGAAAGCCTCGTTAATCAGTTCAAGTTTGTTGATAGAAAGAGGAAATATATAGAAAAACAGACAATGTCCAAAAAATCGTAACCCAGGTGCGGTTACGGTGCATGACATGCAACACAGGCTACCGTCATCATCAACTGAGTACATTTAAGGAGGGCACTAAGATTTTGTTTCGGTGCACTTCTCGAAATAGGCACAGAAACTATTATGCAATATCTGGAACGATCAGTTTTCTCGGCACAGTTCGATTCTTTAAGACATATCCTAGCCCTACTTTAGCCAACTTCTTACGTTCATACAATTATTATTCTTCCTCTTTTTTTTCTTACCCACTTCTCCCAATGCTGGGCGAGTAAAAAGTAGTCCCTAAATCCGACTCTAAGTATTGAGTAACCGATATCGGAGATTAAATTTTTCATTATCGAAATATACTCGGAGCTGGTTACATTTGAATATTTAGCCCTACACTCGTGGATTAGATTCTAGATGAGACGGATTAAATAATGACAGCTCTGTAACTCTATCCCCTCACTGTAATTTTCAAACAGACTAGTACTCTCGCCAGAGGTTGAATTCCAATCGACACTTTTTTTCTTATTTTCTTTCTTTTCTTGTTTTATTTATTTGGAGACACATGGAGATATTACACCAATTAATCGTAACTCATTGGTGACATAATGACAAGATTAAGTAAATAGTATACTTAAAAAATGAGTGAACGTCAATCGCTCTGTTGCACGCACGAGATAAAGTCAAGTCAATAAACTCTCTATAGGCAAAATCACACGAGAATCACACAGGACATGCCAAAAAAATCTGAAATTTATTCCTAACGGCTTAAAGAAATTAAGGGAATTATACACTTTCAAACGATGGATCTCATATGCGAGGAAATGTTAGCGTGATCGTTTGTTCGCAAAATGTTTGGTATTCTTTGCGACTCTTCCTGGGCGAGTCGGTCGGCAGCTACTATACGAGTAGTAGGAAAAGCTGCTTGCGGACACGAGGAATTTTTATAATATAAACCAAGCAAATAGCGCACAAACGAATGGATTTCAGACTTTCTTGATGTGCCCAGCATGGTTTTTTTTTTTTTTTTTTTTTTTTTTTTTTTTGAAATTTTACTAATGAGAAGTCTGTTCTCTTTGCTGCGTCTCTTGCACGCAGCAAGGGCATTGGAGATAGACCAGCTTAAAAGAGGCCGAGAGGAAAAATAAAAACCTGAGATAAATATGTCGAACACCATTGCACTTTCCGCATGTTCGTAACATTGGGTTCTGTATTTAATTTGTGCGTAAGGTAATAAAAATATATCACGGCTGGCTGAATTACGAAAAATCGATTATTTATGGTGAATTTTAAAAAAAAGGCTGATTGCAGTTGATCGGACAAATTATGCGTCTTCATAACACTGATACACGTATGATATGCATTAGGAAACATAATGTAGAACTGCTCCTAAACGTCATAAGATGAGATATGGTTGTAAACTCGTAGGTGCTGAAGTTTTTTTTTACACATTATCATCTTTGGCCTCAATTAATTGACATTGAAAGTCATCAAAATGAAAAGTTATCAACCAGTGTTAAAAAGGGGCGTGCTTTGTAATCAACATAATTGATTTCTTTCTCGCTGTTCACTTTAAAAGAAATTCACCGATATAGCACAATGATGCTCCGATCAGTCAACTTTTGCTCTTCAATATGTGTGTGATGGGTCTAAAGTATGGGAAAATCGGAATATTGCTGGTAATTTTATCACATTGGTTTAAAAGCACAAGTAATTGATGAGATTATGTAATTTCCCTGTATACGAGATGAATCTTCAGTTTTATTACTTCCAATCGCGAATAAAACACTTGGATGGAAAATTTTATCAAAAGAAATTCACATCAATGCGTTGAGACTTATTTTTAAATACATATGCATATGGTATTACCAAAGTCAAAATGCATGCCTGGACAATAGAGGCCATAATATCTCACCGAATGATTAAAATGAACCACCTAAATTACTGCGAAAATTATAGGATTGTCTGTAATCTTTTTATAATCATACTATCATCATTCTGAATGACTATAACATTAAAATAATCACATTATTGAAACACCTGCAGTAGAACGAAAACCGACGGTTTTTTTATTGCTTGTGTATTAAATTTCAAATGTAATAATAAGCATAAAATAAGCAGTGAAATATGAGTTTAACCTCTATAAAATCACGCTACATTATATAGTCTCTACCTATCAATACAGACCGTATCTAGTAAAGCCTCATGAGCTATTTTTTACCGTGTCCTCCGCATATTAGTTAATTGATCACAATCCAAATGACCAATAATAATGACTAATCACCTTCACGCAAAAGTCAAAATAAAATATGAGTAAACTAGATCAGACAATTTCAAATTTTAAATCATTGACACTGTGACTGAAATTGGCATTTATCAATTAATTAATTTACGTTACGCCCTTTCATTAGCACTCTCAGCTACGCGAATAATTATGAACTCAAATAATATGTTGATGATTATTTCGGCTTACTATCTGTTAGAGCCTTCGTGCACACACAATATTGGGATACCTTACGCTCATCGCACGATTCCAAAAACATGATTGCTTGCCAAGGGGAAGCAATCCAAAATTTCAAGCCCATCCAATCAGTAAGCGTGCACGTAAGTTTTCAGCTTTGGATGTTTAATTGAATTTACTCTTAGAGGACCTAAAAATGATCAATTAAAAATCCTCAACTAAACATAACCATCATCTTAGAGAACTTGAAATTAAACAGGGAATTATTGAAATGTAATTATTCTGCCTAGACGTGAGTTTGAATACCGTTGTCTTGGTTCTGTTTCTTCGGACATTATAAAACATCAATCATCATTAAACGGTGTTTTTTCTGCCACGTAAAATAAAGAAGGGAAACGCAATGAGGTCAAAGCCTCGAATAGTCGAATTTTTACTTGCATTCATAGATTCTGATAAGCGCACTAAATATTTCTCTGTTATCCCTTCTATTAGTAAGTTTTTTTTGTTTTTTTTTTTTTTGAAAAAAAGACAAGAAAACAATTAACCTCCTGCACACAAGCATGCTAAGTAACACGTGTAAAAATATGAGAAATAGATATATCCAATGAAGCCACAATCTCACAAGTAGAAATGAAATTGAGAATTAGACTATACAGCTGTGTGCTCTTCATAAAATCTATTATGATGGAAATTGGCAAGCACTAGATTCTTGGTACTGTTGACCATACGCCTAGTAAATTTACTAAACGTCGTCCACAAAATTACTACCCATGTACCTATTTCATCATTATTTTTATTTGTGTATAGTGTTAGACGGATAGAATGTAACGTGGGCGCAGAATTCTCATATTCAGCTTATAATTCCACTGAGTAAATATTTTTCAAGCCATTGTTTTTCAATTTAAAGTCTGTTTCTTTTTAAATCTTATAGAACTGCGCCTGAACATAATAATATGCCTGATTCTTCAAACAGGCTAATTGTAAGACCCTTGAAGTCATATCAAATTTAAGAGTACGTGTATGTCGTATGTGGTCCTACCTATATCATCAAACCTAAAAATCTGTCAATTCGATTGATCAGCCTGAACTAGTCTTTTGGGTTTTTTTCTTCTCAGTATTTCTCCAGACAAATGAATTCGATCAAATAAAAAAATTCACGATTTTGTGCAATGGAACAAGACTTGAGGACGTATTGGATTCTAAATCAAGTGAGCTAATGAACATCAATATTTTCCTTCTTTAAGTAATATTTTTTTTTCTTCCATCTCTTCAGAAACTCCCAGAAATAATAACTTTGTTTTCTTAATGTGTGCTAAAATATGACTGGAATTTATTTATAAAGTTTTAAACAACTGAAATCTCACACTTTGCTTTCGTTGCTTTGATAACCAATTCAACAAAATCTTTGTAAGTTCGTTATCAGAGAAGAACTTGAGATTACGCGTTATAACTTGATACGAAGAAATTAGGTTAAATTAATCGCTCAAAAAGATAATTAATTTTTTTTAAAAGAATTTTAAATATTTATTTTAAAATTTAGAAAAAGGAAATATTAAATGTAGTGCGGATAAAATTTGTTAGCTGCAGCTAACGAATGTTAATTAACTGCAGCTAACCTCCGCCGTGCATGCACAGCAGAGGTCTCTTATGACCAGATTTTGTTGGATGTGTGCAAACACACCTATACAAATTTGACAAACTTAGTTTCATGATATTATTTGAGGACAAGGATGTTGTTCAGTTTAAAATTTTCGTAAACTTTTGTCTCTTCAAAACACCGAACTAAGATTTTTTTTTCGTAGGCAAACCGGAGAGGCCGTTAAACAACGCATCATTCTCGATGAATTTAGTGAGAGAAGATTTTATTGAGTTTGAAAAGACGATGAACTCGGAGCTCAAGACAATGTACAACACGAAAGACCATCCATGCGACTGGAACAACCTGAACTCGTTCAAAGTTTTCATGGGCCTGTCATTCTGCCCGATGGACGATTTTTGGGACATATTTTGGAACCAGGACACGCCAAAAGGGCCAATCTGTCATCTGCTGGTTCCAAAGAGTGATAATTTGGTCGACAAAACTGGTTTCGTTTTGAACTATGGGCTGTGTGACACGGAAACAGGAATGCAAAAAATGGCTGAAAGAGAAATAGAGAGAATGGTTTTCAAAGATTTAGGTTCTGACTTGCAACAAAAGGCACCCTCTGTTCGGCGCTTTTATCGGATTTACATAGCATTTCATGGTCCTAAAGGAGTTGTAAAATACTTTGGCCCTACTGAATTGCATCCAGGGGGCTAGTCTAATATCATCTCAAACAGTACATCACAAGAAAAAAAAATCAGTATAAAATTTAAATAAAAACATTTAATGTAAGTTCATCTCCATTTTTTAATCCATAATTTTGGCTAAACCTCATAACCAAATGACGTAAAAGGCTACTACCAAAAAATGCTTTGCATCGACACATTAAAAAATCTTTGTCAATTATTTTAACAAGCCAGCAGCAAGAAATTGACGTTGCATTTTTATTTCAATCGTTAACTAAGGACATATCAATTAATATTTAAAAAAAAAAAAAAAAAAAAAAAAAAAAAAAAAAATCAACTTAATTAAATGGAGAGATTAAGATTATTCAAAACTCAAAAATAAGGTTCCTATGGATTAGACAAGAACAAATAGAAAAAAATCCGTATTGATTGATTTAAGAATTGAAAGAATCAAAAATATTCTAATTCTTCAGTTATGCGATCAGTGTTTCTAGAATATTTCAAACACTCTGTAGTCTGTACCGTAGTATTTATTCATAAGTTCATAAGGAAATTAAATATTTTTACGTTTTAATATGTTTAATACTTGGACATTTTAGTGAAAAAGTAACAAAAATTAAAATATATGTTTTTTCAACTGGTCTATTAACATACACATAATGTATTTCAATCATTCAAAATTTTCGATTAGAGACATGTGTAACGAGGCTAATGAAGGTCCTCGTTTAGAATGAATGCTTATTGACAATACACATCCAAAATAAAAAAAAGAAATGAAAAAAAATTAATGAGTTTTTCATCATTAATTAAACGTTTTAAAAATTAATTAGTTTTTTTGTTTTTCTAATCAGCATAACGCCACCAAGCATTATTTTAATGCACGACTAAAAGAAAAATCAGGGGTTTTTGAGGGTTTCCCATTCATGTCGAATGCCAACATTAACGATTCTTGAGTGAAAACTGCCGATAAAATTTCATCGACGAGGATGGGATTCGAACCCACGCGTGCAGAGCACATTGGATTAGCAGTCCAACGCCTTAACCACTCGGCCACCTCGTCAGATGTCGCTTCGGTGCGGAAAATACGCAACAAAACGCAAGGCGCCTTTCACCTCTTTGGGGGCCTCCAAAAATCCGAACCTGATAAGGATATTTGGCAAAAAGTTCGTTTTTTATGACTGATAAACCGGCGCCCCCCTCCCCCCTGCCGGCACTTCTGCCCGGACCGCGACGCTCGCCGCGGTTGTCAGCGCGCCTCCTCATCGCGCTAAGAGAGGGGCATGGGTGAGGGGTATCGACCTCTCCCGATGTGCGAGACCCGGTATCAGGGGGAGGCGAGACTAACAATTAAAATGCACTTTAATCCTGGTTTTTTTTTTTCTTTCTTTCTTTCTTCCTTTCTTTAAGGAAAATGTTGTACTTTTTACAAAATTCAATCGTTAAATTGCGAAGTTATTACGGCATGTTAATTACCGATGATTGAAGCCTTAAATTATGCAAATTCAGTGCTGTGTTCCAAAATTTTCCCATGTTAATTATGCCCTATTAGAAAACTAAACAAAATTTCAGACTGAAATTTTTGCTGTTGATCCCCACCACAACGGATAAAATCAAGAATACCTTTATTACGAAAATAGTTTTAATCCAACAGTTAATAGAATATGAAGGGAAATTTGCAACGTTGCAAATGGAGATATGCAATTTTCAACTTCAACCATGGGTTTATTTTTCTTTGAAAAACAATTTCTTTTTTTTCTTTTTTCTTAAATAGGTAAATGAAGGATTTTTTTTCTGCATAACCGCTTAATTTCTACTTGTTTTAAGTACTGCGAGTTTCAAGATCGAACGGCAGAATTACAATTTACTGATTCAAGATTGGCAAAGTTTAGAAACAAGGGAAAATTATATATGTATTTTGTACTTCATATGTAATCTTTCACCACCTCTTAAATAAATTAATTTATCTTGTAAAGCAAAGTTGTCAGTCAATATATTGTCTCCCTCTATCACCATTTTCTTTTTCATACAGATGGGAAGGGGAAAACGGCCTCCTACGCTAATGACGAGTGCGCAACTCCCTTAAAAAAATGTAGGCACTTATCTTCATTAAAAAAACTAGTAAACTAAACAATTTCAATGAAATTGAAATGTACACATTTCCTTTCTGAATCAGCAGTGATTCAATTGATTGATTGATTGATTTTTTTTTTTTTTTTTTTTTTTTTTTTTTAAACAATATTTTTAATTAAATGAGAAAAAAGTAGTATGCTGTATAAGTAAGCAACCATTTATTTTTAAAATTAAAAATTAGTTTATAAGTGAAAAAGTGCTTACTGATGGTGAGCAGATTCACAGATCGATATCAGGATGCAACACGAGATCAAACATATTATCTGCAACGAAAAATGGAAAAATAATTTAGTATTAGAACACATACTTTCTTCCTTGCATGTTGATTGTTTGCTGACTGAAAAAAAGCAATTCCATAATTGTCTAAGTGTGAGAGGAGTCTGTAAATTGCATGCGTAACCGTTCATATAAAAATAGCGGCACCTCAGTAGGACGCACTCAAAGGCAAATTTCTCAGTAAGTTATAAGCAATTTTTGCCGCGTTGGCTTAAAAAGTTAGCTTAAAAAGTGAATCATGATGGACAATTCTCTTTTTTGCACCAAAGAATGAGTTATTAGCGTTAAAGCTACTTTCTTTGCCAAAAGAGGACGTAATGTGGTATATAAAAATCCGGTTCTTTCAGTGCCCTAAGCATGGAAAATTAAAACTTTGAAGGAGCCTCTTTGTTAAAACCACATTTTTCTGCCTGCAAACAACAGCCATAGCTCTCGCTCGGTTTGACATTTTTGGGCCCATTTTATCCCACAATCTCCGTAGAACACTCTTTTCTGGTCTGGTAGCAACGCCACAATTTTAAGTTTCCAAGGACTGGGGTGTCTCCTATTGCTTTTTACCCGTGTGGGTTCAAATTATATTATAAAATTACCCCTGAAAATTTGACATCTTTAAACTATTCCTTTGATATACGGTAAAAAAGAGAAGAGAAGAAATCCCGCGTTATCTAGAAATGTCGTTATTGGTATATGTAAAAGACAAAATAAAATGCGTAGAGGTGACGAAACCTTTGATCCAAACTCTCTCTGTGGTGAGAACCGAGGACGTCGGCTAAAATGATTGAACAATTTTTTGTTAGTGTAAGTATATATTTTCAGTCAATCCTCTGCGACATGTTACTTTGTCTTTGAACTTCTTAGTCTAACTTTGTACGGTGAAGTATACTATTTAAGAACCCTATTTACTGTTATTTTGGGAAAAATACTAGAAAAAACTTTGCATTGTTGAAAACAAATAAACTCTTTCTACGTACTTCAGCTCATGTTTTGACTTCAGTTCATCGTAGCCCAAATTCATACTCGAATTTTTAAGTGCCACTCAAACTCTTGATAACAAATTCTTTCAAGATCAAAATTGATGGCTGTGTAGTGATGGAGAGTTCAGCGCGCACAAAGTGGCACGTTAAAGTCTTCTAATCATGAATGTGGTTTGTTTAAGTCATATCACTTTCTACAAGGTCGCGTTTCTAGATCTCATCCCTCCTTAGAGCTCTTGATAAATACCTCGAGCTATATATATTTTAACTCGAGCTAGGGCTGTTTTTGGCATCCTCGCGAGTTACTTAATTATTAAAATTGAAAGTAAAAAGCAAAAACATGAGAATATAGCTACTTTAAAGCATCTACAAATCATAAGGAATCAATTTTCTTAAAAAGTATGTAATATTTCACAATTGTTCTTGATTTTCTCAAATTCACGAATAAAGCACCTGACACTTTGAAAAAAAATATGGCAGATTTTGCCATACTCTGACGCAGTGATCCGAGTATGGTGATAAACACAAGACTCTAAGTTAGAATTTACCACACTATATCACTAGAGTTCTGGTAAATACTGCTATAATTCCACTTATTTCTACTAGACAGTTTCACTTTGTAAAAAATCAAGTAGACTTGTGGTACATTTTACCATATTTTCTTTTCAGTGCAGGTTCATGCAGTGCACCCTTTGATCGACAAGGCATTAAACAACACCCTTTAATTGGATTGCATTTTGCAAAAAGGAACCAGGAGCATTGCAATGTTGCTAAGATTGTGCAACTTCTTTTGTTTCAGAAGAAAAACCTGATTATTCATTTACAGTTTCTATTTTACTCGCTAAAAACTGTAAATTTAAGACAAAATTACAATGTAAATTTCATATTTGTTCATGTTTTCAGGAACTTTATTGCAAAGGATGAAAATGCACAATCTTAGCATCATCGCAATTCTCCTGGTTCCCTTTTTCAAAATGCAATCAAATTGAAAAGGCATTTCACAAAATGTCGAATATGACCAGTGGCCTTTTGACACATACAAAAATAACACACTTAACCATGCCAATGAAAAACGAGCTTACTTGCTGACTCAGATTCAGCATCTCTTTGGACGTCGATGGACGAGGCCTGTCATTCACCCTTTGTCGCGAGAAGCACTTTGGCACTGAGCATTGTCACTTGTAAACCTCGGTGGCGCACTATCGACCATACACCGCTTGACGCGCGCGGAAAACTGAGTTCCGTTCCTGGTTCTTCCGAGATGAAAAACCAGCCGGCTCCGAGCGGGAAAAGCGTCTGGGGCGGAACACTGGACCGAGTCCTAAGATCGTACCGTGCCTCTGTTTGATTTGCGGAGGAAGGGTTTCACTACGTCCATCGTCGGCTGGACCGCGTTTTCTTGGTCCAGTTGCGTTGAGCTATTGCCGCAACTCGGCAACAGCACACTATTGACAAATTGCACATCCATGCAACGAACGTTATACGTCCAATGCGTCGCACAAACCATTTTGAAAATAAAGGGAAAAGGCCCTTCAGGGGCTTTCATAAATTGGACTACATTTTGCAATTTGGAAGTATAAATTCTAGCCCGGTTTGAAAACAACGTATGTGCCACTAGTTTCCCTATGCACATAAGTGTTTTCCCAGAAGAGCCAGAATTTATAATTTTTTATCAGAATTTAAAATTTGCGTGTATGTACCAATTCAAAACGTACCGGCCAGCTTTAATAACGCGTCATTATTTCGTCCTCTCCAATGGATCGCTTCCAAACGCGCATGCTGCCGTTCTAAGGAAGAACGCCGTATGAAAATTCGAGAGTTGCCAAATTTTCCTCGATAAAACACGTATTTTTGACAACAATCATGCAAATTCCTTGAAATTTTCAGATATTTAAGATTAAATGGAGATGTTGCATGTGTGAGGGATTTGCGATTTGACCATTGATTCTTCTGTAAAAGTCCGCCAGAAACACAATGGTGCCACTGGTTTTCTCTGAAATCAACTCCCAAGCTCAAAAAAAGCTCTCAAAGTGAGGCCAAAATGGAGGGGGTATCCTACCCTATCCTGAGAGTCCACCTCTACATCAAAACAAACTCCCCATGCAAAGATAGGGAGCCAAATACATGAGCAATGGACATTTGCAATCCGCAAATGTCCATACCCCTTATGCTCGCCGGCACCCCGGGGCCCTAGGTTCGAATGTGGTCCTGGCGTGGATTACGAATTTTTAGAAGTGAGTCAATAGTTCTTAGTTTGCTTTCATTCAGTGTCATGGAAGGATTTACTCTAATGGAGTACTACTTCCAATATTAGTAGAAATGCAAGTTTAGAAACATAGAAATGATAATCATTTTCAATTTGATCAAATGCAACCATTAAAATGTACGAATTGCAGGAGAACTCCTTGCTGCTTGCGAGAAAATGCCTTTTGCATTTTTTTTTTTAAATTTTTCATTTCGTTTTTCGTAAAAATAACGACGGACGGCAGTAAAAATGTTATTAAAATGTAATAATTTAAAATTGTTTATAGGTCCTTCCCTAGGTACTTATTTGGTTGGAACCCAAAACTAAAAGTACCCTCTCTGCACGCAAGTCCTCATAATTACTGCACATCCTACAGCAGCGTGCAGTTTATCGTGCGAGGCATGAACGAAATCATACACACAATCAAATAGATCTATTACTAGAAGGTGTGACTGTTCAAGAGGGAACATTGGCACAACGGAAATGGAGCTGGCGAAAACCAGTGGCTTGGCGTGAATTGCGATGTATCGATTATTATGCCATTTAAACCTATGGTAAAGAATCGATTATTAAGGTGTTCGCTGCGAACCCTGTTTAACGATCCTTTTCCATAGGTTTAAATGGCATAATAATCGATATATCGCAAAACACGTAACGCTACTGGCGAAAACTGGAGGCTGAAGTCGGCGCATTCATCTCGTATGGAGACAGGATCAGTCAACAATAAGTGCGTTTTGAGAGGCGTGATTAGATCTGAGCGCATTTTGAATGAGGACCAGTGCAGCAGTGTATGAAGGAGAGAATAGGAAAAGTAATTAAAAGACGTCGGATCGTTAAACTGTTCTCTTCCGGGCGCGGGCGGGCTGGCTGGACCACTGGCAGCCCGAAATCGATCTCTCGCATTGCACCTCCGAAATCACGTGCCGAGATCGGTGCGGAATCCGATTCAAGATCTCAACAACCAGCGCAGCGCTCCTGCTACTGCTGCAGCGTTACTGCGCTACGGAAATGCCGTGTTTGCATTTTCCTTACCCACCAAACCATGACGGTGGCATCTACCTTGCACTGACTCCCTCGTGTCAGCATCCGTTTATTTACGAAATTCTGGGAGAAGTGTTCGTGGGAATTATTTTTATGAATTATTTGCTTCTGCACGCTTCCTGGGGTCTGTTGCAAACTTCAGCTAGAGCAAAACGAAGAGTTATTTCCTATTGCAAATTGCCAAAAAACCACGACTAACGTGAGAAAGTTTGAAATACTCTCCGAATTTCATAACTTACTTAAGAAATATGCGTTTTTCTAAGATTCCTGTTTAAAAAATGATACTACTGCACAGATGATCGTTTTGTGATAAGAGTCGGTACAGCCAACCCTTGCGCACAAGGATGCTACACAATATTCGACATGGCCGCGCCAATCTTCCAAAAAACACGAGACAAGATAGAATATTTTATCAACCGGCGCCGGCGCACAGTGGATCGATTCAATTAGAGAGGTCGTTCATGAGATGTTTTACTATAACTGCAAATTTTGATGTTTAATTTGTTACATTTTGAATTTAAAGGGTGCTTCTGGAAGAAAATTTTACGAGGAAACCAATGGAACCACTTTCAGAGCCTCAAAGTTTTGTATAAACGGAGTTATAAGTTTTTGAACTTTCCAGATTTTGTCCGACCTCTCCCATTGAATCCGTCCACTATGTGGCGTGTATCGTTTTGAAACGGGAAGCTTAAAATAATGCATATTTCTTACGTAGATTGAGTGATTAGACGAGTGCATTTCAAACTTTCCCGATGCGCGTACCGTGAGTTTTAAGCCATTTATGTAAGAAACAAGTCCTTTTTTCGCTCTATGGCTGAAGTTTGTAACGGCTCCATTGCAATATCTATTAGCTTACTCTACAATATTGGTGCTGTTTTTTTTCATTAGTTTTTTTTTTTGTTTTTTTGTTTTGTTTTTTCAATGCGTGCAAGAATGAAATCTGCTATTTATTGTGGTCTTCATGGAGGTCCGCTGTAACCCTTGAATCAATATTCATCCAAAATTCCAAAAGTCGTACATTCAAATAAATCAACAATACAAGTCGAAAATTAAGCATCTTCGTTAGCCCATTCACCAATTTTCCCTATAAAACTGCAGCGCGGTATAGAGTTCATAGTGATATATGACTTTTTAACGCATGTCAGTGACGAGACGGTCTAAACTGCATATCATCGTTAAATTGTGTAATGGCGAATTCAATCCTCGCATAATTTTGGGTAATATTTGGTGAAAAATGGATGAAATAGTCCATTACAAGCTGTTTTTACGGTTGATTTAATAAGGATAAACCGAGCCGTATCCCGCCGCTAAATACCCAATTTACTCGGTTAAATTCGTGGTCTCACATTCGTGAAATGCGAGAAAAGTGTTTCAGCAGAGGACAAGTACTAAGCGGTCGTGCCATGCTGCCATGCTAAGGAAGAACGCCGTATGAGCCTTCAGACGTTGCCAACTTTCATCCAATAAAAACCGAATTTACTGGGAATATTGCGAATACTATTTTCCAAAATGTGCAGACAATTTTGTACGCAATGGAGATGTTGCATATGTGAGGAATTTGCGGCTTGACTGCTGATTCTCATGTAAAAGTTCGCGAGAAACACGATGGTGGCACTGGTTTTCTCTGAAATCAACTCCCAAGCTCAAAAAAGCTCTCAAGTTGAGGCCAAAATGGAGGGGATATCCCACGCTATCCTGAGAGTCTACCTCTAAATCAAGACAAACTATCCATGCAAAGATAGGGAGCAAATACATTGACAGGGCTGCCACTTCATTTGGGGACTCTAAAACTGAAAACACGGCATCACTGATAATGTATTTGCTCCCTATCTTTGCATGGAGAGTTTGTCTTGATGTAGAAGTGGACTCTCAGGGTAGGGTGGGATATCCCCTCCATTTTGGCCTCAACTTGAGAGCTTTTTTTGAGCTTGGGAGTTGAAATCAGAGAAAACGAGTGCACCATCGGGTTTCTCGCGAACTTTTACGTACGAATCAACACATGCATTATCTCCATTTAATCTTAAAAATCTGAAAATTTTAAGGAAAAATATGCACGATTGTTGTCAAAAATACATGCTTTATCAAGGGAAATTTGGCAACTCTCGAATGTTTATACGGCGTTCTTCCTCAGAACGGCAGCATGTGCGTTTGGAAGCGATCCATTGGAGAGGACGAAATAATAACGCGTTATTAAAGCTGGCCGGTACGTTTTGAATTGGTACATACACGCATTCACGCATATGAGAAAGTCCTCTCGTGAGTACAATGGTGACATTTTCTCGTGGTGGCTAAAGACCGCGCTCGAATTTCAAGTATTCATTTGATTCAAGGACCATGAGCTAGACGCTTGATCAAATTGGACAGTTTTCTGTGGAAGGGAGGCAAGTGACATGGACTTGAAAAGCAAAAAAGTATAGGTTTGAAGTTTCATCCCTTCGTCAGGTTAAATGCAAAAATTAGACTGAATCGACGGAAAACATTCCAAACATTTCAGACGTGTAAAATCACATTAGTATTTTAGCTCGTCTTCTTTAATATAGCAGCAGCAAATATTAGCTTTTTGCTCATCAAGTTGTTTTTGGCCCTACCTATTGGACGTATGCTAAAAAGAACTATGTCACACGGAACCCTATGCACATAGTTCCTTTTAGCATAAGGGCGTCCTATTTATTGTTCAGCTCTGCGATTTTTAATCAGTTTTTTGACCGATTTTATTTTTCTTTTACACTCTAGTGAGAATTTCGTGGATCCCGGAAGGATAAGATGCCAAATAATGACGTTCAGGTTCAGCCAATATTCTCTCTTGTGGAATGGACCGCAGAGAAAAGGAGAACAATAAGCTAATGAAATCACCGCTACTGGGTGTCACAGTTTGGTAATTAGGTGAAACTTCGAAGCACATATTCCATTTACGTATTCAATTTTCTGCGATTTCCTGTCTTAGCGGTACACGCGAAATCATATGCTGTCGCATTCATGCAATTGTTTTTGACAGTTATTTTTTTTTTGGCCCTCGTTTTTTTTCAATCAACGTTTACCATCGAACAGAGGTATGATGACGATCTCTCTTAGTCAGTCAGGCACGTTGTTCTTATTTACGTGACTGACTAGGGTATTTTCGGCAGTTTTCGGATCTCAATTAGGAGACAAAATGACATCAC